GAAAATTCTCTTACCCTCCCTGCATCTCTGAACATGAATAGCAGTGAGATTGCCATGCCTTAACAGTGACACCATTTCTCTTGGCAGCTGGACCGCCTGCTGAAGGAAAGTAGCATCAGCCCTGTTTTCCAAGGATGTGAGACAACAGATTTCAGGTATGGGTTACACCCAGTGTCTCTTTGCAAGGCCCTCCCTAAGAATGGAAGCAGTCCCACTCATGTTCTCCTTTTTCTGGAGGCTGGACCTTCTCAGTAATGCCCTCCTGCACAAAGATATTTTCTCTGATTTCTATCCTTCTTACATATTCTCCTTACTGCCTGTCATCTCATCTCGAGGTCTGACTTAAGAAGGCTCTTGGTCTAGCCTTCATTACTTGCTCCTGTAAAGGCCATGTGGAATTTGTGAAGGAGGAAAGTAGGAATTGAAAAGCAAACAACCATATTTTGGGAAGGCAGAGCTTGCATTCCAACTCAGAAATGGTGTTGGTAGTCCAAATACCCAATCCTGAAGGGACACTGTGCAGAAGAGCTGCTCACGTAGGCCCCTGTATTTTGCAGGCCAGGCAGCCACAGGGACGAGACCCGGGTGGACGCCGTGTGCAGCTACAGCAAGGAGGCCTCGGCTGCGCCTTTGGACAGGGTGGGGCTGTACCACCAAGTGAGCAACAAGACCAGAGGCATCACCCAGCTGGGCCCCTACAGCCTGGACAAGGACAGCCTCTTCGTCAACGGTGAGCAGCGCTCCTCCCTCAGCCTCCTCTGCTCTGCCAAGGCAGCCCTCGCCCAGTGCTGTCCCTGGCCCACATCCAGCTCCTGACCCTCTGTCTCTCTCTTTTCCCAGGATACAACGAGCAGCCAGTGCTGACCAGTGAGTACCTTGCAGGAGTGGGATGGGATCTGAAGGCAGAAAAAGGGACCACTGGCTTCTTCCGTAGGGCTGAGGACTCTTGGACCTGGGCAGGAGATCCTGGGGTTATGGGGAGCATCTCAGCATTTGCCCTGGAGAGCAAGGCAGCAAGGAGACCTCTATACCCAGCCAGCCAGAGCTGTACCAAGCCAGTCTTTGCCCATTGTTGTTCTTATTTGCACTTCTTCCAGCTCCCACCCACCCACCAACAACGACAGCTGCTGCCCTTGAGCGTTTCACCGTCAACTTCACCATCACCAACCTTCCCTACACTTCCGACCTGGAGAATCCTGACTCGGCCAAGTTCAAAGCTACTCGAAGGGTTATGAACACATTGGTAAGTGGGACAGCTGTGGAAAATTCTCTTACCCTCCCTGCATCTCTGAACATGAATAGCAGTGAGATTGCCATGCCTTAACTGTGACACCATTTCCCTTGGCAGCTGGACCGCCTGCTGAAGGAAAGCAGCATTGGCCCTGTTTTCCAAGGATGTGAGACAACAGACTTCAGGTATGAGTGTCTCTCCAGTGTGCCTCTCTGTGCCCTTTGTTTATGTAAGAGAACAAGTCATTGTTATGTTCCCCAACTTTATGGAGCAAGAAAATTCATTATCCTTCCCAGGGACCTTCTTCCAAATTCACCTCTCTTCTATACACCCCATGCTTCCTTCTCTCAACTCTTTGAGCTGGAAAGGCCAAAAAGTCCCCAAGTTGATCCTAAAGTTCTTGCAGGCCCTCTGCTTCCTAAATATGCCAAGGCTGTTATTGAAGGTGCACATCTGTGCACAGCCACAAAACACACGCCTCAGTTTTGGGAAGACAAATGTTAAATTGCCGCTCTGAAATGACCACGGCAGTTCCATGATGCAAGATGGAGAGGAAAAAAGGCAGAGGAGGGTGCTGAGGGAGGTCCCTGTATTTTGCAGGCCAGGCAGCCACAGGGACGAGACGCGGGTGGACGCCGTGTGCAGCTACAGCAAGGAGGCCTCGGCTGCACCTTTGGACAGGGTGGGGCTGTACCACCAAGTGAGCAACAAGACCAGAGGCATCACCCAGCTGGGCCCCTACAGCCTGGACAAGGACAGCCTCTTTGTCAACGGTGAGCGGCGCTCCTCCCTCGGCCTCCTCTGCTCTGCCAAGGCAGCCCTCGCCCAGTGCTGCCCCTGGCCCACATCCAGCTCCTGACCCTCTGTCTCTCTCTTTTCCCAGGATACAACGAGCAGCCAGTGCTGACCAGTGAGTACCTTGCAGGAGTGGGATGGGATCTGAAGGCAGAAAAAGGGACCACTGGCTTCTTCCGTAGGGCTGAGGACTCTTGGACCTGGGCAGGAGATCCTGGGGTTATGGGGAGCATCTCAGCATTTGCCCTGGAGAGCAAGGCAGCAAGGAGACCTCTATACCCAGCCAGCCAGAGCTGTACCAAGCCAGTCTTTGCCCATTGTTGTTCTTATTTGCTCTTCTTCCAGCTCCCACCCACCCACCAACAACGACAGCTGCTGCCCTTGAGCGTTTCACCGTCAACTTCACCATCACCAACCTTCCCTACACTTCCGACCTGGAGAATCCTGACTCGGCCAAGTTCAGAGCTACTCGAAGGGTTATGAACACCTTGGTAAGTGGGCCGGCACTGGGAAATTGTCTTGTCTTCCCTGGGCTCACTCTACTTAGAAGAAGAACAGTGAGATTGCCATGCCTTAACTGTGACACCATTTCCCTTGGCAGCTGGACCGCCTGCTGAAGGAAAGCAGCATTGGCCCT